TAGCAACCCAGATCTGTAAATTACAGCACTGAACAGGCATATTTCTTAAACTAGGGGGCTTCATTGCATCCATAAGTTCAAAATGAAGTAACGTTGAAACCTACTGGCTTCAATATTTTCCAAGGGAAGAATATTCTCCAAATAAGAAGATTTGATAAATATACTTTTTCTCATCTTCATTAGCTGGAAAAAGCTGCCAATTTACCATGGAATATAATTCTTAAGCTATAGTGTACAAATTGCCCTATACTGCAAATGTATTTTACATAGAAAATCAAGTATGATAAGTTCAAGGCTTATATTTGTCCAATTTTTTTTGATATTGCAATGCCATAGAAAAATCCATTAAAATGATTTTAAATCTTCGACTTGATCTGATCCTACAACAAAAGCAGCAACAGTACATGGATACTACAGGGAACAATTAAATTTACTTTCCTTTATTTTCCTATATTACCTGGATAACTCATGCAAGCTATTTCTCCATTCCATTCTGTAATTAAACAAAAAGCCCAATGTATGTGTTTTTGACTCAAGACTTTAACTACCTTGGGTCACTCCTGATGTGTTGCCAAAATTAAATTCCTGAAGAACAGATATCAAAAGGTTTAATCCAACTGTGTTCAGGCTGTTTGAGAAATGATGTGGAGCAAGGCAATTGGGGATATCCTCACCTCTTCCCTAAGTTGTTTAAAACTGTTCCAGAGAGTTGGGTGACACTTCTGAATAGCATGGCAAATAACATAAGGAACCTGAAGGATATCTCTTAATAGAAGTCTGCATTGAAAACTACATAGTGCCTTCCATAAGTGATAGGAAACCAATAAAATATAAAATAGTTCCTAAAATATTAATAATTTCTTAGCACTGTAAAAATATATTATTTCATCATTTAATCAAGTATTTTAATAGGTTACAGAGATTTAAATGTTTTACCTTTGTTTCAGTACTTGACTTTAGAAAAAAAAATCATATATTATTAGCAGAATCCCCCCAAGTTTATTCATAATGTAGTAAGAAACATGTATCAGTATTTCTTTTCTCAAGATCATCTAAGATTGAATATTTTCCAATAATAATGCTCTACTAAAATGCCAGGTAACTAACTATGAAAAAAAAACATATTAGAGTATGAATGATGAAATCAAAGCGGCTGTGAATGAGAGAAAAACATATGTAAGAGAATGCTGCAAAGAATAAAGATGAATAAAGAACAATTTTGTTCGAAAAAATTCTGCAGGTATATGAAAAGTGATAAATAAGTCTCTAGTAGAATGGAGACCTAGTTTGGTGTAGTGGTTAAGGGACTGGCTAAATTGAGAGACTGTGACTTCTAGTTCTGCCTTAGGTACAAAGCCAGCTGGGTGACTTTGGGTCAGTAGTTCTCTCTCAGCCCTAGGAAGGAGACAATGGTAAAACACTTTTGAAAACTTACCAACAAAACTGCAACAATCTGACTAGGTAGTCACCAAGAATAATATTGACTTGAAAGCACCCAAAACAAACAAACGAACAAAAACCCAGAGTGAAAAGAATCATTAAAAAAAAAAATCTCCAAACTCAGAAAGTGGTTCCAGCTTTAAGCTGGCATACTGTCCTAAAGGACACCAATGGCCAGGCAGTAACTGATTCCCAGATGTTTAAACAAAATAGGAAAGTATACTGACATTCTGTACAGTAGAGATGTCAACATCCAAGATATCTGGGAAGATATTTTGTATACAAAGAAACTCTAGTACTAGAAGGTAATGTTAGATCAGCACCCTGGTCATTACCAAGTTGGAAAGTACAAGAGTTGATGAGATATCTACAGAAAAATGGCAAGGAACTGAAGATCCAGTAAAGGTTCTAACCAAATAATGTAAACAAATCTGGAAAACAGCTAACAGATCGGCAGAGGTCAATCCACATATCAATATATAAAAAGGAAATTTAAAAGAGTATGTAAACTATTATACAATATCTTTAATTTCACTTGCCATCAAAATAATGTTTAGGATCATCCAACACAGTTTAGAATTCTACATGGAAATGGTTCAAGCTGAATTTTGAAAAGGCTGAGTAATAAGAAATAGAATTGAGAAGACATGCTGGAAAATTAAGAAAGCCAAGGAATACCAAAAAAAAAAAAAGGAAACGTGTGTTTTACTGACTACAGAAAGGCCTTTGATCATGTCAACCACATCAAGGTATGGAATGTGCTTAGGAAATGGGAATTCCAGAACATCTCATTGTCTTCATGAAAGACCCATACACAGGTCAAGAAGCCACAATCCAGATGGAACATGAAGAAACAGATTGTTTTCAGGTTAGCAAAGAAGTGAGGCAAGGCTCTAAACCAGAGGTCTTCAAACTTGTGGACTTCAACTCCCAAAATTCCTCAGCCAGGCACACTGGCTGAGGAATTCTGGGAGTTGAAGTCCACAAGTCATAAAAGGGCCAAGTTTGAAGACCCCTGCTCTAAATTGTCCCCTTATAAACTCAACCTTTATGCTGAAAATATATTGAGGGAAATTGGATTGGAAGCTGAGTGTAGTTCTAAAAATGGTGGAAGAATCATCAATAACCTGAACTATGCAGATTACAGTATTCTGATAGTTGAAAATACAAAGGATCTGGAAGCTCTAGTAATGAATATCAAGGCGCATAGTGAAAATGGGACTAAGAAGACCAAACTAATGATCTTAAATTAAATTAAAGACCAAATTAATGAGAAGAGATACAGCAACCAGTCTTAGAATTGATAATAAAGATATTAATGATGTGTTTTTTAGTATCTACTATCCAAATAAAGGAACTAGCAGTCAAGAAATATGCCACAAAAATAGATCAGAATCATGCAAGAAAAAATTCCCTGTGACACCCTATTAAAGTGAGAATTGGGCTTTGAAGACACAGGATAAAGAGTATTAATCTTTTTGAACTTTGGTGTTGGAGAGGACCTTTGAGAATACCACATATACTGTAGCCAAAAATACACAAAAAAAAAAAAACAGATCACAGTTTTCAGTGAATACAGACATGGTCAAGCTGAATTATTATCTTCTGGACACATTGTGCAAATACCTAGTGCTCTTTAATGTGGAGAAAGCTGGAAGAAACAGAAAAAGATGACTGGCAAAAAGACAAATGGACTCAATTACCAAAGCAATGGGTATATCACTGGAAGATCTGAAGGACCAGGTTGGGAACAGATTATTCTGCAGAAAATCTATTTATGTGTTTGTTAAGAGTCCACCAACTTGATGGCATATAATCATCGTCATTATCATTATAAGTATCAGTAAGAGTCCTAATCTTGTTTTTTTCAACCCTTCCTAATACATCTTTTTGACAGAAATGAAGCAGACAATTTTATTTTAAACATAAGAAGTAATGAAACAAGATGACAAGGACAAAAGAGTAGTAGAAAACTTTCTAGGCTGATAATAAGTACTGAGCTAGATTAAAAGCAAAAATTACTCACCAGAGCAGGAGCATCAGTAATTGAATTACATGATGAAAGGTTTGAAGTGCAGAGGAGGGGAAAAAAATCTAAATGTATATCAACACACAAAATTATCTGTCCGAGTGGCTAAATAAATGGATGAAATATGACTCTGAAACACTGCTCCTTTTACTCTTTCCCCTCTCCTCCAGACAATTTGAGAATCCGTGGATAGCATTTCCAAGTCCATTTTTGAAATGAGGTAGATCAAAAAGCATTAGACATTTACAAACTGTCTTCTTTTAAGTTACTTTCTATTCTGCATTTAGATTATTTAAATGAAGGCTGAGCAAAAGGTAGCATCTATTGGTAGATTTTGAGGTGAACTACAGTAGATAGATAAAGGATTTGTGATTCTACATTAGGGGTCTGTGGACCGTCACTGGTCTTCAGCATACCAACAAGCGGGCCGCACAAACAAGCAAAGTCCATCCTTGGAATGCAGGCAGTATTCAAAACCATACCCCCTCTGGTCCACGGAAAAATCTTTCTCCATGGCATCAGTTCCTGGTGCCCAAAAGGTTGGGGACCTCTGCTCTACATGGTTAAGTTGTAACAGCAACAAGATTTTTCAAACAACATTTATTTCAGGTTTTCGCAATAATGTAAGCTTTGAATAATCAGAAAGTGGCATTTGTATGAAAGTTGTCTATGCTCAATTCACTTGTGGCACTGAAAAAAAATCTTATATTCAAATACACTTTGAGCATTCTGTTATAGGTATGTGTCTTTTGTACAGGAGGTGGATTTTGGAGTTCTACAAAAAAAATTAGGTGGGTCTAAGAAGCCTGAAGTCATTTCCACATAACATAGTGCCGTATTTACCCATTACTTCAAGCATTTTCTGTAATGCACTATACATATTCAAATCAGTTCACAAACATCATTATTGAATTTTGGTAATCGTAATTGTAAGAAAGACTTCTATTGTGACAATCTACTTTTAAAGAGAGAAAAGTCAGTATCATTCTTGTCCATAGATTACTGTACTTACCACTTCAATTTGTGAGATGCTTACAAATATTTATCCCATAAACATTTATTTTAACACAGAACTGTTTTAAAGGCAAAAAGAAGCCAACTCATCTTATACTTTAGTCTGTTTTTTCAAGAACATCAGTACCGTAAATGCCGGCGTATAAGGCGACTTCCGCGAGCGCTGAAATCGGCGCCAAAGACGGGGATCATCTTATACGCCGAGTCGTCTTATACGCCGGAAATACTGGTAGTTTCCGGCGTATAAGACGACGTTCTAGGAATGCGGCCCGGCTATAAAGACGGGGGTCGTCTTATACGCCGGGTCGCCTTGTACGCCGGCATTTACGGTAAATAAATATTTATAACTCAGTTAAAAACTGATTGAGAATCATTACTGAGTGAGAATCATTAATATACAAGTTTAAAAAACTGAACAGTCTCTCTCTCTCTCTCTCTCTCTCTCTCTCACACACACACACACACACACACACACACACACACACACACACGGGGTCTGGCATCCAAAACCACTTACCTGCTGTAGATCTGCCAGAGAATATAGATGGATCTGCTGAAGAAGATACTCTCTGGGGAAAATTCTGAGAAAAAAAGAAAGAAAAAATAAATGCAAGCAGCAAAATATTCTTTAGAAATTTCCTAAGATGAAAAGAGCACTGTCCTACTTAATAGATTCTAGCTATATATATGTATAAAATACTGTAGATATGTACACATTATGCAAGAGAGTACAAATGCCTGTCCCATGTATATTTGCCAAAAGGAAAAAAACAAATCTATATTTAAACTGAGATATTAGATATTCAAAAACCAGGTAACCTTTTCTAGTAGATCACCACTCAATTCAAGGGTTGCATTCAAAACTCCAGAAATAGCTTGGCCATTCTAAATGTGCCTAGGGGTAATCTATTTTGATTAATTATCAAATCTCTGTAGGATTCTGTACAGAAGCCAAGAGTGCATGAAACCTCCCCTGTAGATGGAAAGATACAACAGCTCACATATATTCATCCTATTCCTAGAACACTTAAAATGTAAACATTAGCCTTTTCTTACAAAGGTGGGGTAACAAATAAGGATGTTAGCTTTCAAAAAGTGTCAGACTTCACATCAATCACATCAAACATAGTAATAAATCTTGACTTTCTGATCATATAACTTCATATTCAAGAACTTGTAGAAGCTGAAACTAAGGAGAAGCTTCCTAAAAGTCAGGACAATTAATCCGTGGTACAGCTTGCCTTCATAAGTTGTTTTACCTCAGACAAGACAGGAACTGTATGCAGAGTCAGCCATAGACACCTCATACCACAGAAATCAGGTCATATAGATCTGTCTGCTTAGTGTTTACATCCCATTTTTTCAAGTCAACGGAAATGTAAACTCTCTTTTTCTGGCCTTAACATACCTTATCCACAACAATATAGCAACCGTAATAGCAATAGCACATAGATTTATATACCTCTCCATAGTGCTTTACAGCACTGAGTGGTTTATAACATCAGCATATTGCCCCCAATAATCCGGGCCCTCATTTTATAGACCTTGGAAGGATGGAAGCTGAGTCAGTCCTGAGCCGATCATATCAAAATATGATATTTTGTCTAATATGAGAACCAATGATTCTCACTTTGTCACTTTCAGCCTGTACAGAAGGTCATTAACTTGGTCATCCCAATTGTGGAAAGTGGGAATCATTGGCTCTAAGTTCACTTCTGAGTTGAGCCAGCGACTTGTACTTTTTAAAGACACTGCTAAATAGTAGGTTATTATTTTAGGGTCTGCCACTATTTGCTGGAAGAAATGTGCTTCAAATATATAAATACAGTTGAGCTGTACAATAGTTATATTATTTATTTTTAACTAAGCATGATGAATTCAAAACCAATCAAATCATTTTCTTTAAATGTAAGTATTATGACCATAATCTGAAGTTATGTCCCTTAGTTTTGCTAATGTAATACAGTTTAAATATTTAAATGAAGAATTAACAAAAATGCATGAAAACACACAGAAAATGTAGTGGGCAAAAAAGTGATTTGCGTCTTGTGAGAATTGGAACGTATTGATATTCCAACATTTCCTCAATTTAATTCTAAACGAAAGCACTCTTAAGGATTGCATGGTGATAAACACATTTAAGCACATTATCAGAAAAAGAATTAGAGTAGGAAAAAATATACTTATTCTTATTACCATGGAAACTAGATTATGGGGAAAGCTTTTTTAAAAAAACTAAAGCTACTCAATTTTGTCGGGTGGTTTTATGGAACCTCTCTTTATTGTGGAAATGTGTTTTGTTCATTTTGATGGAAGCAAACAGCAGAATGAAGCTGATGATGGCACTCCAAGTGCATTAAGAAGTTTCCCTCATCCCACTCAGAGAGCGCAAAGGACCCTCAGGGCCATGAAGATCATGTGCTTAATGGATGGAACCAGCTGAGTTGCATCCTGGGGCTGAGTGCTTCAAAAGTAATATTATGAACAAATCCCAAGGCTGGACCAAGGACAGTTTAGACAGGACACATTTAGCTAAATTTTATTGGGCATAAAAAAGCACCATAAAATATAATCATTTAGTCAAGTTAATAAAATTTAATAGATTCCTGAAAATTAAAAATTAACCATAAACCAATCCCGTATCAAAACAGCACCAATAAAATAGTTATGAAAAGGAATGAGCTCCAAAATCTGTGGCATTACCCAAGGAAATTAATTCCAAATTTAGGATTCACTCATTTAACAGATACTGGCATTATTTAAAGATTCCCTTCTCCCAGGTTTTAAAAAGTAGGGAGTTACAGTATAGGTACAGATAAATGGAGCTGACTGAAAATCTTAAACTGAGGCCATAAAGGACTTTAAACAAAAATACCTATGCCTTAAAATTTAACCTGAACCAGAGTAACATCCATTGTTGCTCACAGAAAACATAGAGGATCCAAACTTTCAGTAAGTAACAATTTTCACCTAGCCTTTATGGACAGAACCAAATAGAGCATGTTAGATGCTGCCTAGTTGATGGCAATTCTTTCCAAATAGCGTTCTCTGTAATTCATAAGATTTCTAAAATGTCACCAATAGAAGCATTTAAAGTTTTCCATTTACAGCATTTTTTTAAAAAAACAATTCATATGAGGATTCCATAAAGAATTAACATGTGAAAACTTCTACAAAGCAGTGTTCCATTTCAAATTCATTTATTTTTATTAGACAGTTTAAATAAGTTTGTAATATGTTTACAAAGAGATTTGAAAAAATAATAAAATACAAGGAATAAACCAGGGATGTAGAAATATCATGCACATATTAGCTTCCTAAGATTAATTAGTTGTAAATAACTGAGTAGATTTTATGTATCTATATATCTACCTCTCCATCCACCGTCCATCCATCATCTATCTATCTATCTATCTATCTATCCAAGAATCGATAAGCCATCTGTTTCTTGCTTGGAAACTTTTCATCTGAGAGGGTCTGGCGGGATTTGGGCTACAAGCCGCTTCTCATGCCTTTTCATTTTTTTGCTAATAGAATTAGATTGAGACATAACCTCCAATTCATTTCATCCATCCTCATCTTTTACCTTATCAGGTATGAATCTGCATAAATAATAAGTAATCACCACTGTTCCTCTACAAACAAAACTATAAGGGGTGTGTGTCTACAATTATAAAGTTTGTAGCTATATTTATTATCAGCAGGTCATTAACAGCTAGTTTGTCATTAGATCATTGGAATTTTTTCTTTGAATTAAATAATTTGATAGCTGTTCCAAAATACAAATGGACTGGCCTATACACCATACTAAAATCATACACTGGATTTCATTTAAATCAATGGAAAAATATATAACTCAAATATTTTTCTATAAATGAAACATATTTAATATATTATAACAATTTATTCAGAACAATTTGACAAAACATTATTTTCATAAAGTTACAAATGGCAAACATGTAATAACTTTTAGCAATGTACTTATACAAGATAATCTTTATTAGAGGAGGAAGCAATTGAATTATAAGTCAAAAGATAAATGTAAGTCTAAAACTTTTAAAAAATGACATACATGTAGTAAAATAAATTAAATTGTGGCATCTTACTTGACAACTGAGACAAAGCCATCCAAATATCTTGATGCAACTTACTACTTATAAACGGAAAACACACAGATAGCCTCAAGAATTTTACTGATGCTATACTGATAAATAATAGAAATCTCTGGACACAGGCTCAGGAAGACACAGTGCTTGTGTTTTGTTATATTCATTTTAATTTTCTAATTATTTCATAGAAGTTGAAATAATTTTTTCCTGTCCTGATTTAATTAAAAATTATTTTAATTCTCTGATTTCTTCTAGTAAAAATATTTGCCCCATCAGCTATCCAATAAATTAATTTTGCTACAAATCCTATCATGCTGAGGAGGATTGATGGATGTTGTATTTCACACACCAGGAAAATGCCAGTTTGGGATAGATTGTGTTAAAAACTAAGATGGCTATATCCAGCAACACTGTACAAAACCATCAAGTGGCTTGTTGGTTTGGATAATTTGTAAATTCCACTCTTTCAGTTTATATGATGGGAATTATAGCTTAATATTTCTGTCAGCTCACCACTGAAGGTTATTCTATAAGCTATGATTAAAATAAAACATGTTTTCGGTGATGGTGAGCTTGATTTGATTTCATTTGTTATAGAAGTATTCCTGCAAAAAAAATTCTAACAAGGGTTTTAAAATTATTTGAATATTCCACATTCTTTAATACTTTAAATCAGAATATACTTAATTAGAAACATTGCTAAGCTTTATAGGAAGCTGGTTACTGTTTTTTGCAGGTGGCAGTTTTATAATTAGAATAGATTAAAGTGATTAAATATATGTTGACTATGAACAGAAGTAATTTTTCAAGCAATGTTTTCTAAACATGAAAACAAATTTGAAATTCAGTACAACTTTTAAAGGCAATAAATAGAAAAAATAAAATGTTTTATTTATTTTAATAACAATAATTTTCATGTCTCATATATTTAAATAGCTTTTCCCAAATTTGCTACTAGAAAGTTAAACAGCAGTTTAAGGAGGTTTCTTAAGAACATTTTAAATAGTCCCTGCTTAATGACTTAATTCAGCGACTCTTTGAAGTTATGATGGCATTGGAAAAGCGGGACTTGGGATTAATCCTTGTAGTTGCAGCCATTACAATATCATGGTGGACATGTGATCTGGGCACTTGTCAACTAAGTTGCAATTAGAACGGTTGCAATGTTTTGAAGCATTTCTACATTTGTGACTTTCTCTGTTGTCTTCCCACAAAACAAAATCAATGGGAACGCTGGCAGTCAGTTGCAAGTCATGGTCATGTGGTACCTTAAGAACCATGTAAGATTTGTATAATGACCATAATTGGAACTATCAGACCTACCATCATAAGTCATCACAGTTGCATGATTTTCTGTTTTGCAACAGAGTTTCTGGTCTCAATTATCATTAACTGACAACCATCTGCTACCATTAATTATTAATATCTATGGAGATTCTCAGTCATCCAGGTCATAGTTGTCTCAAAGATAC